GAGTAACACTCTATAAATCTGTGTTGTCCACTCTTTCTGGAATAATACCATAGAACAAAAGACGGAAAAAGGATACAACCAGCAACATTTTTTGGCTTAATAAAATGACACAGATCAGATGCTTCGTATGGAGGAAGGGAACTTCGTTTCGTGCCATGAATTTCGCAGACACAAAAAAGGACACGGACACGAAAAATGGTTCAAATGGTTCAAATGGTTCAAATATAAATTTGAAGATACAAAATGACTGCATAAAAAAGCTCAAAAGGAAACATACTAAGAGTATATGTCAAAATTTTTTTTCTCTTCTATTGCGTTTGGTAAAGTGATTTTTTATAATTCCCTAAAGCACAATAATTTGCTTAATTTGAAAAAGTTTATTGTATTGAGAAAAATAACAAAAAAAAAAAAATAATGAAATAAAAGTCCTTTAAGTGTGTCATGAACTTCGAATGTTTAAATTATGCACAATAATCATAAACTCGAAACAAGAAAAGCGGAAAATAAATTTCAAATACTTGTCTGGACGATTTTCCTGTTTTTATAATTTCAACTCATTTTATAAAGAAAACTGATTTTTTTTATTCATGAGTCATTACTGCCTTTGAATATATTTAATTTATTCTGCATTTTGCATTTGAGTCAAATGCAGAGAAACTCAGTGACTTTCGATGCCTTCTACTAACCAGAAAGACGAAGCATAGAATCCGTGTTTGCTCTTCAGTAAATAAACTTAACGTAAATAAACTTAACGTTTCTTTAAAATATGAGTTCTTTAGGTAAATTTACTATCCAAGGGAATACCTAAGTATTTTGTCTGTACTAGGATAATTCTATTTAATAAGACAGACGGACAACTATTTAGATTAATTCATGAGTCTTTCATCTGCAGGGCAATATTATCAACATACACGTAGTATTACCAATGCTTCGCTTAAATTACTTTTAAAGAGTAGAACAAATGTGCCTTCTGCTCAAACAGTATCCGGATTTTGTTGTTTGTTAACTACTTCTTAAGTAATACATTGTGACCGAAAAGTTTCCGGAAATTTTAAATAAAACGCAAAATTCTTTATCTTCATCAATATTTATTTTATCTCCTTCAAAATATGCTCCATTAGAAGCGATACACAAATGCCAACGTTTCTTCCAATCATCAAAACATTTTTTATAGGCGCTTTCCGGTATGGCTTTGAGTTCCCTCTGCGAATTCTTTTTTACGTCTTCTATGGATTCAAAACGCGTTCCTCTGAGTGGTAATTTGAGTTTGGGAAACAGGAAAAAGTCACACGGTGCAAGATCAGGTGAATACGGGGGCTGTTCGATGGTATTTATTGAATGTTTGGCCTTAAAATCGTTGATAATGTTGGCTCGGTGCGAGGGAGCATTATCGTCATGAAAAATCCATGAATTATCCTTCCACAATTGAGGCCGTTTACGGCGGATATTTTCACGCAAACGTCTTAAAACAGTCAAATAATAGGCTTTATTGACTGTTTGTCCTTCAGGGACGAATTCATGATGCACCACACCACGAATATCGAAGAAAACAATCAGCATTGCCTTGATTTTCGAGCGACTTTGGCGTGGTTTTTTCGGTTTCGGCTCGTCTTTTCCTCTCCATTCCGATGATTGTTGGCTTGTTTGCATGTCGTACTCGTAGACCCATGTCTCGTCACCCGTTATGATGCGTTCCATGAAAGTTGGATCGGAATTGGCACGATCAAGCATGTCTAACGAGACCTGTCCACGATGGTGTTTTTGGAACAAATTGAGGTGAATCGGAAAAAGCCGAGCGTTGACACGTCGCATACACAAATTGTCCACCAAAATCAAACGAGCCATCTCACGACCGATGCCTAGCTCTCGTGCTATCTCTCTAACACTCACATGAGGATTTTTGAACACGATTTCCTTTGCCTTTTCAATGTTTTCGTCGGTGGTAGAGGTCGAAGGTCGTCCAGAACGCGGCATGTCTTCGACGGTCGTACGACAGTCCTGAAAGGCTTTGTACCACTCATAAACTTGAGTTTTCGATAAAACTGATTCCCCATAAGCCTTTTGTAGCATTCGCAACGATTCTGCACACGAAAATTCGTTCGAAACACAAAATTTGATGCAAACTCTTTGATCAATATTTTTTTCCATTGTTTTTTTCCCCACGCACTTGAGGTGAACCGGTTCAACGCTGCCGTAACAAACGTCTGAAATCGCGTCTTTTTGCATAAAAGTAAGGACAGTGCTGCCAAACTACATAAACTTAAAATATCGAAAAATATACAGCGCGCGAATTTTAAATGAGAATTTCCGAAAACTTTTCGGTCACAATGTAGACCTTTTTCAAAAAATTTTTTTTGCTATGTTGATACACTCTTTCTTGACATATGGTACAAATTTGAGCGCCATCTGTCAATTAGTTTGTTTGCAGCAGTTATTAATGTTAGATTACCACAAGTGGATTTAGTGATTTTTACTATGGAAAATTCTTGTAGTACGCGATTTTTTGACCAAACACGGCACCACTGTCATCGCTCAGGCACCATATTCGCCAGATCTGGATCTGTACGACTTTTTCCTGTTCCCGAAACTAAAATTGCCCCTTCGTGGAAAGCATTTTGAGTCGATTGAATCGGTAAAAGACCTTCACGGACCCAATGGAAGATTGGGTTAAGCGTTGGCATATGTGTATCGCTTCAGAAGGAGCATATTTTGAAGGAGATAAAATAAATTTGGAATAAAATTTAAATTTGCGCGTCTTATTTACAAAATCCGAGTACTTTTTGAGCAGAAGGTATTGTCAGCAAATATGCCCATCACACCTGTTTCAGTGAGTAGAGGGTCTGCTTACAAATCTTTCATTGGAAAATACATAATTTTGTATAAAATTTTTTTTATATATATACACATTGACATAATTACACATACACATTGAGATTATTGAGATATTTCGATTTCTTAATTAGATGTCGGTTCTTAAATGCCACGAATTATAGAGTTTAAGAGTGCAGGAAATTGGTACTAATTATAGAAGTTATAATATTCTAGTTCTAATGAATTGTGACACAATAGAAAAAGGTTGATGTACAGAAATTTTTTTTGCATTTAATAACCATCGCAAAAGCTCTTGACGGAATCTGGCATTCTGGTCTGATTTATAAGCTCTTTTGTAGCAGCAATACTGTAAACTGTTGGAATCGTATATTGGTGAAAGGTAAGAGGGCGGTTTGATAAGTCAGTGACTTTTTGAATTTCCCGCGCAGTTACTCCAAATGCAACAGTACTGCCGTCAGCTGTAATCTACCAGTGGGCAACTTTCTAATTTAGAGTAAGCTACTTCGTTCAGTTGGTGTTTGATAGCCGTTCAAAGCATGTCTGCCCTCGTGAATTTTTATGAAAATAGAAAAGTGAATTTCGTGTGCTGATTAAGCATTCGTGGTCAAAATCCACGAATTGGGATACGAAGTGCTACCCCATGCAGCATATTCTCCAGATTTAGACCCTTGCGATTATTTTCTGTTTCCAAACCTAAAAAAATGGCTGGACGGTAAGAGATTTAAATCATTACCGAAACAAACGCGTATTTTGAAACGCATTGTTGTACCTGCTGTATGCATATAACTTACTAGTGTCTGAACTTTTACAGATGACAAGGCAATAATGGTTACAGGTTCAAATACTCTGCAGAAAGTTGAATAATGGACTATTAAATGAAAACTGGCAGTTGACTTTATTAACAAAAGACAAACTCAAATTCCATTGTTTGTAAACAGCTTAAAAATTCCAGTTACTAATTAAATATATGCCAAATTGAGATGAAATGTACACATCAAGAAAAAACTAACTAAGCTGAATATTAAATACAAAAAACTAACATGGCTTATTGGAATAAGATCCAAAGTAACTTAGCATAATAAACTCATTATATACAAACAAGTCTTCAAGCCTATATTGCTTTACGGCGTTCAAATTTGAGGGGGTGCAAAAAATCATATAATCGATTTGATACTAAGATTCCTCAGAGATGCAGTTAAGATAGCAAGAATGCTGTCAATATACATTATGATAGGCTTAGTCAACTCTTAAACAGCACTATTCCCGCGTTTCTTTGGGATGTAACACACATGCTTAAGTCGCTTCAAACCAAAGGTTGAGGTGTCTAGATAGCTCAGATCGACCTGCTCACTTCAGTTAAGTAATATTAATTGGAATATAAATTTAAAAATCTCTTGTTAGTCAATGTGACTAGTTGTTGTTAATTTAAGCGCTGCGCTTGTTTAAATAATAAAAAAAATTTAATTAACCATATATCTAGAAATTGTAATTCGTCATAGGGTGGTGATTACCACTGGGTAGTCCCGTACATGCCAATCATATATTGTTATTGCCATAAGTAGTACTTATTATTCATGCATAGAATAGACTGTATATAATAAAATTAAATTTAAAAAAAAAAAAATAAAAATTAACCATATAGTATTAGTATAACATATTTTTTTGAATTATATTTTATAAGTTATCATCAAAGAGTTCTCAACTATAAATTGGCCAATTAGTGTCATAGTGATATTTTGTTGAAATTATGTACATAAATTGCAATCACAGAGTGCATTGCAACAAACAAGCCGCTTAACAACTTAATTCTAAAATCCACAACCCCCACAGGCAAGGACTACATGTGTTCCTTCAACTTTCAACTTTCGACCAAAACACACACAAAAGGTCGAGCAAATATATTATCATATTTTAACAGTTAAATCGCCATAGCAACACAATTATCCTAGGTAACGGACTGACTAAAGGACATGCCAAAACAAACTTAGTTTGGCAGAAAATAACATATAAACTATTATAAAAAGCAAAACGGTTGGAAAAGGACACTTTGATTGCCTAAGAGTACTATTAAGCAAAGCAAAAAACTAAAAGTTAATGAAAAATCTAAAAGATACAAAATATAAAACACAAAATACAAAATTGCAAAGATACAAAAGTGCAAATAGAAAATGACCAATAAAATAAAATTCATTATTAACACATCAGGTATGTGCAAATTGTGGATAAAAATTGAGTTTGTGTAGTTAACGAAATATTTTGCTATTCCGTCCTGGCAACTCGCAAACTATTCTGTTTATTTGTTGTTTCGTACAATTTTATTTTTATTATATCGAGAAAAAATTTTCCAGTTGAATATTTTGGGGCGAATGTGTCTAGCTTTGAACAGGACGAACACATAGCGGCCATACTAGAGTTTCTGGAAAATGACGAACTTACCGTTATTGCAGCTGTGCATAATAAATCCGAGGGAAAAATTCAATTTCACCATCGCATACCAAATGATGAAGTGTGTCTGCTGTTTTATAAAATACCGCAAATTGGAAGCAGTGCTAATGTCAGCAATGGAGGACAACCTGCAGTAGCAAGGAGTAGAGCCGATGAAAGAGCTGGCAAAGCATTAGATAATCAACCGATTGGCATTTTAACGTTAGAAGGTGGTTTGGTTAAGTCTATCTACAATTCGGTTTCCCGCGTATTCTCACCGAAGTCAGCAATAAGAGTAAGTTCAGCTCTAGCCAATCTAGCTAAACATAGTTTCGCATTAATTATTTTATACTCGCTGATGTGATAACATGCACATTTCATGGACTTAAGAAGATGTTATGTCAGTGTACCACTTTGACCATTTTTCTTTCTTTGCTTTTTATTTATATTTTTTTTTCTTTTTTCTTGTTATTTATTTTTTTGTTTTTGTATTCAACTATGTTTACTTTATAAACAAATCCTGTGTTCTTTATTCATTTACAGAAAACTGAGTACAGTAGCGAGTTAAGTGGTCTACTAGAGAATTTACATGCTTCACTTGGCTCAACGTTGGGATTACCGCAGAGTGGTAGGTAGTTGGAATGCATAAAAAAATGAACATCATGCAAATGAATTAAATTGGTTAAAATACGTTGTGGCCACAGCAAACTTTTTCCACTCATAAATACTTCATAAGCTTAGATTGTATTACAGATGCACATCGTAATATACCAATTTTTTCAAATAAATTTTAACTTGCATTTTGCAAAATAGGTAACGAAATATTTTACGTCTTCAAATTTTTTATTACACACAAAATAAATTTACAGTTGAACTTCCATAACTCGAACTTCCATAAGTCGAGTTTTCTATAACTCGAGTTTTATTTAACTCGAGTTTTCTATAATTCGAAATTTCTATAACTCATGTTAACTATAACTCGAGTATTCTATAACTCGAAATTTCTATAACTTGAGTTTTCCATAACTCGAACTAAATAGAGAGTAAAAGGGTTTAGAGAGCAAATTACATACAACAACAAAAAAAATTTTTAACTCGAAGTCTCTATTCGTCGAACCTTTTCTTTGTAGAATGATACTTCGACTGTATTCACTTTTTTCAGTTATTTTTAAGCTGCAAATAGATTTTACTCTTTACAGATATACCCACTATAGATCCCACATTATTATAAATTAATACAATAGTATAAAAACTTTGTTAAGCTATATTCAACACAGAAAAAAAAAACCAATCAATATGAACCTACCATAGGTACATAGGTCATTCTTTTACAAACCGAACCCATTTTGACCTCAGCACTTTTAATTTAGACTAAATTTTCGGTGAGCTCATTTAATAAAAAGTTTTAAAATTTTCCATAAACAGGGGATATCAATCTATGAAATTTTGAGAATTTCCATTTTAGACAAATTTTTAAATGGCTACATTTCAAGCTCTATAAATAATATAGATTTAAAAGTTAGAAAGGTTTGAATAGAAATGAAAAGACAACAACAAAAATTTTACTTAATTTATTGACTTATTTTAGTAATTAATATAGATATTAATTATTACGATAGATATTAATTATACTAAAATATTGTAATATAAATAATTTTGTATAAAAATTAAAATATAATTAAATACTTAACACAAATTTATATGTGTAATTTTTATTTAAGAAAACATTATTAAATTTAACGTATCGAATATTGGTCGTAATAACAATTCATATTAAACAATTTAAACAATTAAAATTGATATAGTCAAGTATTTATATTAACCATTATTTTAAAAATAATACCATCGCATTTTTCAAATCTAAATTCAAATCAGAAAAAAAAAATAAAAATTTTTTATATACAATACAAAAATAATTTTTTTTACCATATTAATGGTTAATAATAGTATAGAAATGCAAACAATCTTAAAATGCTTAAAACCTTAAAGTTCTCTCATTTAAGTAGCCTCAGACATGGCCTTTTGAAAAATAAAATAAAATGAAAATTCTCAAAACCCCTTGCGCCAGTATCTCTTAGGAAAAAATTTGAAAATTTTTTCTCCAAATATGGGGCCTTTTATTTTATTAAGCGAACTCATAAGAAAAAATTCTGCCAAATCCTAGTATTTATAACAATACTTATAATTATTTTTTTTTTTAATAGGTGTTTTATCAATCGACGATGAGATCAGATATTGGAAACAAAAACTTAATCAGAAGTCTAATTCTCGTATTGATAGAGAAATGTCTCAGATATTTATTGGTCTACTCGAAAGAATTGAAAATCAAATGAGGTAACATTAAAAATATAATATATATAAATTATTATAATATATATGGGTAAATATAATAAAACAAAATGTTTTGTAGTTCTATAGATAACAGTAACAATAGTACAGGACTTGAAGAATTTCTTGATAATGCACATGACAATTTAGACGAACTTTGGCGTTTGCCATATCAGTATCCACAAAATCGTATGGCAGATGTTTTGGACATAATTGGTAAGTAATATAAGTAATAATAAATATATACTATTTTATATAATTTTTTTAAGGTATTCGACTACTTGAGATTTGTATTGAACAACTTCCCGTGGATGAAATTTGGAATTTCAATTCGAACTATATCAACAACTCTATGAGTAAATGCATTGATACTGTTGATGCTTGGATACAATTGTGCGATTCTTTGACACGTCTTTTCTGGCCAAATTATGTACAACATCCTTGGATTGGAGAACCGCATGTACCCAAACAAGGTGAACTTTTCAAGGAACGTTTGTCTGAAATACGAAATATCAAAAATCTCTACAAACAAATTGCTACTCTCTTGGATAGTAATGAAATACAACTGATGTTTAACGCAAATTCACCGTTTAAACGTAATTTGACATATTTTTGTTTTGATTAAAGTATATATACCAATTATAAATTCTTTATTATAGTTATAAATATATTTGATACAACCTCGCTTGGTCAAACCAAATGGAATAAAGCATTACAACACTTCGAACATATTCTCCAACCTATTGATGAGCGCATAGCAAACGCTATTAAAGCCCAGTTATACAATCATTTAAGTAATCCCAGGCAAATTATTTTCATATTTTCCAAATATGAAACGCTTATACAAAGACCGACAGTATTGGAGTTACTAACAATAGAGCGTGAACAGTTTTTGCAATCTTTGCAAATTTTATTACAAGATTTGCGTAAAGCAATGAGTGACACCAATATGGAACCAGATACTGGACATTTATCCGTCATATGTAATGAATGTCGCTGGCTGAAAATTGTACAATATCAAGTGAGTTATACATTATTTATATAATATAATTAATAATAGAAGGGTTCGAACAGTAATGAAGAAACAACAACAAAAAGTTAAACAATTTATTGAAGTTTGGCTGACCATGCAACACTGTTTCGAGTATGGTCAAGTACTCATCATCAGTGGTCTTAGGAAATATTTGAATTTTTTTTCGTTAATTAGTTTAAAGTCCGTATATAATTTGTTGGACTGCAAGTCCAAGCTTAGTGCTCGTGCCTGTCAAATTAGAAGCTATGACTAGTCGTGTTTTTCCACAAGTATCTAAAGCTACACAAACCTTCTATGCTCAAATTCCAAGTATAATAATTATTTATAATTGAAAATATGTGTTTTATAGATAAACGAAATTGAAAAAGTCAGCCATTTGATAAGTGGGCGTGAAGGTTATGAGCAGATAATTAAGGCTGTGCAGGAAATCAAAGAAGAAACGGAATCATTGCTGCGTACAAATTTCGAGATATGGAGTGGTCAGTGTATTACAGCTGTTAAAAGTGGTGATTTAAAGTAAGTACTTGAGATACATTCTCCATACTTCAACTTGACAATATACTAAACAAATAGATTACGTGACGATCAACCAGTGGTAAAGTTTGAAAAAGAAGGTCGCCAACTAATGCGTGTTACATTCAACCCAAAATTAGTCACATTCATACAAGACGTGCGGGAATTTGAAAATCTTGGCTATAATGTACCATCAGAATTACGTTCCACAGCTACTCATGCCGGAAAATTTATTTGTTATGCTCGACGTCTACAGCAGATTGCGACGTTTCATAATACGATCGGTGATCGCATGATTCCCTGTCAACGTCCGATAATGTTAAAGAATGCAATGGATCTGTCGAAGCTAGTACAAAGTGAAACAGTTGCATGGAATGATGAAGAGTCTGTACTGCGCTATGTTGACATGTTACAAACAGCTGTTTCGAAGCTCTCTTCCGATAATTCGCTTTTAGTAGGTTACCATGAACAAGCTAAACGAACTGTGAGTTTATAATAGTTATTAATATAGTAAAGATTTTATTATTTTTACTAACATATTTCACTTTGACTTAGGTTATTAAGCTTATGAATACCGATCTTCTAACACAAAATCAAATTTGGAAAGATGAGATGAGGCATTTGCGTGAATTAGTTGCATCATTAGAGCGTCAAGGTTATACCAATTTGGATGCATTTAAGCTACATTGGGATTATCAATTGTATAAAGTATTAGAATTTCAATATATATTAGGTCTAGCAGATATGAATAATAAGTTACCCGACATACATGTTGATATTCTTTTTCGGTAAGTAAACGAGCATTCTCTTATATACACTAATATTTCATATTCTTTCTTTCTAAATACTTCGAATCGTAAAAGTCCACCCTCAGAATAATTTATTAAGACATTAAAAATGCACTGGAGAATGGAGACCTACAGCATATTTAGACATAAATAGTGCTATTAGTTCCATTAGTATCTCTATATGAAAATCCGTTAAGTTATTATATTCATATTTATACTGCTATATATCAATAACTAACAGACCTATTCTGTGCACTTTATAAACTTGTCAAACATTAACACTTGTCAAAATTGACTGCTGTAAAGGTTTTGGTATTTTGTGACATAAATAAAAAACTCTTTTCCTTGTTAGTTGTCAAAACTACAAATGCTGTTGACAACTATGAAAATGTGCTCTTTTTAAGCATTTTTTATTATTTGCATGCTTGACAAATATTCTTAACTAAAATATACGCTCTTTACAAGCATATTTTTTACTGTCATTTGAATGCATGAAAAATGCTTTGGACAACTTAAAATATATGCTCTTTACAAGCATTTTTTACGAACAGTTACGAACAATTACGAACAGTTTTTTAGAAGCACTAGGTACTTGAGCTTTGAAATTTGTCAAGATGTGTCCAGAATACCAAAAAGCTTTCTGCTATATAAAAATCAAAAATTTTATTAAAAAATTTGAGAAATCTGTCAAGTGCACCGAATAGGTCCGTAAATGTAATATAATTCTATCAAATAATATGATGGCACTACCTAACGTATCTTATATTCACAGCTTACTCTCAAGAACTAACTTTTTCTGCTCTTGCTTCCGGTTACCTTTTTGGTGTTATAATTTATTATTATAAATTATAAGTGAATTATATCCATTAATTATTTTTATTCTTGAAAGAAACCTATATCCCAAGAATACTTAACAATATAGAATAATATTTTGGATTATTTTTTTAACAGACAGCGTCAGCTGTGCTTCCGACCACCAGAGGAAGAAATTCGAGAAAAATATTTTACACAATTGCGTCGGTTTATTGAGAGACCATGTAGCTTTCGTGGACTATCAGAAAAAAGTAGTGATTTATATAAATCCATGGTGGAATTAAATAGCCATCGCTTCGGTCCACTCTACGAAAGGGCACAGGAATTATTTCAAAAGTTGGAGCAGTTTAAAAACATTTGGTTACCATGGGTAGCTCTAGGTTGTGTTGATGTGGAAGAACTATGTAGCATACATCTGAATACATCTGAAGACTACGATCGCAATTTTCGAGCTTCCAAGGCACTTAGTCAAAATATTGCAAAATTACAAAAGTAAATAAAAAATTAACTTTAAATTAATTGATTTTAATACTAATACGTACTAGCAATGAGGAAACTATTGACTGTATTGTTATTAACATTTCACCATTGAGATCCGACATGGAAGTCATAAGTCGACGCTATACGGAAGCTCTTTCGAATTCACTACGTACATCGATTTTAAATGACATTGCCGTGGTGCAAGAGTTTCTGCAGAACTCTTTACAATTTCTACAAAATGTTCCGATGGATGAGGCTTCGATTTCAGATTCGGGAATGAAATATGAAAAAATGATGACAGAATTACCACAGGTTCTTAGCAGAATTAATAATAACATTTTTTACATAACAAATGCTTCAATTGATAATTTTTCTAGATTTCTGAAACCTTAACTTCAGTTAGACGTAAAGATACTTGTCTAGCAGGTTGGTGCAAAGAGCGTGTTTCGTCACTAGCCGGTATTTTACTACAGTATGAGAAGCTACAGCCATTAATAGAAAATCATGCAGTTATACTACAACGTCAAGTTGATATAATCAAAAATCAAGCCCAAAATCATATGCAAAATCTGCAAAATGAAGCTGAAAAGTCATTTTTACGTTGGGAGTCTACGCTATTAGAATTGGAAGCTAACGAAGATGCTACATTGGAGGTGTTTAAAGAGCGTTTGGAGAATTGGCAACAAATTCAAGCGAAAAAGACTCAAATTCTGGAGGAATGTGCTAAATTTAATATGGAGTTTCCGGCGGATATTTTAAGATATTTCAGTGATATTGATGAAAAAATGCAATCACAATCTAAAAAATGGGAACTCTATGATAGTTACTTAAGTGAGCTTAACGCCATTACTCAAGAAGAATGGGCTATTTTTCGTCGACGTCCATACGTGTTAAATGAATTTATAAGCAAATGGGAGGGCTCTGTTCACTCTTCAATAGACATGCCCTCCAAACGTATAAGACAACATGTGGATCGTCTGAGAGAAGTAATGCCAATACTGCAGCAATTGCAATCAGATGCACTCAATGAACGTCATTGGGCTCGCATATTTATGTTGTTAAAGGAAACTGAACCGAAACCAATGCATAATATGCTTTTAAGTGACATTTTAAGAAATTACAATTCCTTACAACAAGCAGCCACAGAAATTTCTAATATTTTAAAGCAGGCATCCTCTGAACAAATCGTACGTCAAGCGCTTACTGAACTGGATCAATGGTCAATTACTGCTACACTGAAACTCATTAATCATAAAGACTCTGCGGGTAATAGTCTGTCATTGATTAAAGATTTTCAAGATGTTCTCAACAAAATTGGTGACAATCAATCTTTGCTGCAGTCGGCAAAAAATTCAGCTGCTTTTGATGCCTTCTCCGATCAAGCCACTCTGTGGGAAAGTCGTCTAAGCACCTTGGACGTTTTGTTGACAAGCCTGAATCAGTCACAACGACGTTGGGTTTACTTGGAACCGGTTTTTGGTGATGGTACACTCAAAAATGAGGAAGCCTTATTTAAGCGCATTGATAAGGACTTCAGATTTGTGATGCGTGAAATCAATTCCGATTCGAGAGTGGTTTCTCTACTTAAAATTAATAACATTACGGCAACTGTGAATTTCTTGGAAACACAACTCACAAAATGTCAAAATAATTTACTTTTCTATATACAAGTGAGTATCTCATTATAAATCGTCTACAATCGATAAACAATATAAATAGATTCAATTCAATATATAGGCAATGCACCAAAAAATGTGTCTAGTATTTATCTGAGTAGTTGGTTTTAGTGTATTGAGACTTATATGTCAGGTTACAAATTTCGTATTTAGTACAAATAGTCCTAAAAATTTCACGATTTTTGTTGTAATAATTGCATAAAATTTTTTTTATAAATTAAATAAATTTTATAATAAAATAATACAACAATATTTTTATTTCTATAGTAGTAGTATTACCTATTAGATCCAAATATTTCTCTCTTTCATCTAAAAAAATTTCATGAATATCTATTGGATAAATAATACACAATTCTATACCAAAATGTTTTCTATATAACTGTTAAAAAACTTATATTTTAATTAATATTTTTTTTATAACGTCGGCTTATTTCATGTTTCAAATCAAATTTTTGTTGTGAAATGTTTATAAATATTATATTATATTGAATTAAAATTTGTTTTGAAATTGAATTAAAAAAAATATTCATATATAATTATATTCTCTCTTTTTGTTTTTTATTCTTTTTATTTTGTTTAGGAAAAACGTAATTCATTTCCACGATTTTACTTTCTTGGAGACGATGATTTATTAGAAATTTTGGGCCAAGCTTCAAAAGATGCCACAATTATACAAAAACATATTAATAAATTATTTCCCGGTTGTCATTGTTTGGGCATTACACAGAATGGCAACGGCACACATATTATACAATCTGTCCAGAGTGCTGAGGGAGATATAGTAACTCTAGAGCAATCTGTTGAAATGACTGGATCGATTGAGGTGAATACTTTTAAATTTTTTGTACATTTTTCAAGCAATTAAAAGAAAATTAAAAAAATTAGAAATTAGACAAGAAAAAAATTTAAATATATTATGAATATACATATACATACGGACCTATTCTGTGCACTTGACAGATTTGTCAAATTCTTTCATAAAATTTTTGATTTTTATATAGCAGAAAGCTTTTTGGTATTCTGCACACATCTTGACAAATTTCAAATCTCAAGTACCTAGTGCTTCTAGAAAACTGTAAAAAATGCTTGCAAAGAGCACATATTTTAAGTTGCCAAAAGCATTTTTCATGCATTCAAATAACAATAAAAAATATGCTTGTAAAGAGCGTATATTTTAGTTAAGAATATTTGTCAAGCATGCAAATAATAAAAAATGCTTAAAAAGAGCATATTTTCATAGTTGTAGTATTGATAACTAACAAGGAAAAGGGCTTTTTATTTATGTCACAGAATACCAAAACCTTTACAGCAGTCAATTTTGACAGATGTCAATGTTTGACAAGTTTATAAAATGCACAGAATAGGTCCGTTAATATACATAACTGTATTGGCATATGTCATATCTCAAGATATTATTATAACAAGAGAATACAAATCTTTAAAAAGAAAAGGATTGAAAACTTTACAGTCCATTGATTCATTTAGTCAGAAATTTGCTTCAGGATTGACTTTCAGATAATATCCAAAGCCAAAATAAAAATTTATTTTATTATATAGTAATGAATATTTAATAATGAATATTAGATGTAGTCCTTCAAGTTATTAAAGGGCCGTTTAAGATCCACCCTCTTCTGCCTATATGTATAAGTCCACTAACATAGTTAGCCATAAGTTTATAAATATGTTTACGAAATACTTTCTTCAAAACATTGTTTGAATAGATATTATTATGTATAAATGTAATTCTTCGATTTATTTAGGGAATGTTTCAGCTGCATAAGATCCCCACCATCCCCTTCTATCTATATATATAAGTCCACTAGTTAAACATAACTTTATAAAAATGTTTAAGAAATACTTTCTTCAAAACAATGTTTGATATATTTTGATATATAAGTATGAGAATAAGTATATAAGAATATAAAATAACTAAAATCAGTTTATATTTTGATAAAATCAAGAATGTGGACATACCTAACTATAGTAATACTAATTTGGCTCAATGGTGTAATTGAAATCAAGAAATAGCGTGATGTCTTTTATTTTACTTATAAGCAAACATTAAAGTAATCAATAAATTCTTTACTCGATATTTATAAGTAAAAATAATATATCTTCAACAGACGTTTTCAATATCATAACTGATCATATCTAATCTTAGATCAGTTCATATTTTGGTAAGGGGCTAATTAATTTATACTAGTACTTTGTGCTATTTCTTACTTTATTGATAGTATACTTCACAATTCACTCTCATCTAAACTACACGCTAAAGATCTTTATATATTGAAAATGCATTGTAGAAGTTGTTTGTGTACCCAAACATTAAAGTCTGCATATTATTGACCTGAATAACAGATATTACTTACAAAAAAAAGTGTATCAATATAAGGTGTGCTATTATTTCAATACTGCCCAACATATTTCTCCTTTTCCAGGTTTGGCTCAACAATCTGGTTATTGCCATACATAACACCCTTAGGAACGATATTGTGGAGTGCGCAACTATGACGAGTGAATATTTTAACGAAAGCGTACTACAAAAATATCCAATACAGGTGCTGTCGACAACGAGAGCCATAAACTTCACAAAGCAAACAGAAAAATCCATTCCAGCCATGTCGCTGCAAAAACTGCACCAGAGCCTAAACGCTGAAATAACGTCATATGCAAAGCTGAAAAATCAAACAGACAACGCATTATTGCAGATGAAACTGCGTGCGTTACTCTTCGATTTGGTTCACTATGCCACAATTATTGAGGAGCTTATTCAGCACAATGTTGTGCACGTCGGCGATTGGCATTGGCTAAGTCAGCTGAAGTTCTATTTGGCGGGCAAAGATAGACGGGTAGTAACAATACGCGTTGTCTATGCGGAATTTGAGTATTCGTATGAATTTCTTGGTAATCCTAATAAGTTGGTTAGCACGAGTCTTACGCAAAAATGTTATCTGATATTAACGCAAGCCATGCACATGGGTTTGGGTGGAAATCCTTTCGGACCAGCTGGTACTGGTAAAACGGAATGCGTGAAGGCTCTGGGTGCCATACTGGGTAGATTGGTTTTAGTTTTCAATTGTGATGAGGTAAGTTTGTTACTCTACACTACTACGATATACCTACGCTATATATAGAAATATATGAACATAGATATAACTTAGTAAGCCGCTTATGTGCATTGTGTATCTGTGGCATGAATCCATTGTTATATTCTGTGTGTCGTATGTTGATTTTGAAATGAAAATCTTGACTAAAACATTCTAAGCTTAAATTTTCTCCTAAAGCAATGCGAAATTTTTTAAGCTCTAAACCAATTTACAGAATGTGGATACCGAATCGATGGTCTTGATTCTAACCGGGTTGGCTCGTTGCGGCGCTTGGGGCTGTTTTGATGAGTTCAACCGTCTGAAGGAGGCAACACTCTCAGCTATTTCAATGCTGATTCAACCGATACAGACTGCATTAAAGGATAAAGCTGAAGTAGTGCAAATTGCTGAGAAAAATGTAAGTGCATAGATGCATATGAAGTAAGCCGCATCATGCTTTCTAATGCATGAACAGAGAATGTCTTTGTACTGATATGTTGTTACTTATTTGCACTTCGGTATTCTGCTTAAAACAGAAATGAAACATATTTGTGAATGCATTTTCAATGAAGGTACGAAGTATGCTTTACGTGCCAAATGTATTTAACATATATAAGTTATTTGTTTGGAATGCTTATAAATCCTTATATTGATATTGATGCATTTATATACGATATATGCACAATGTACACATGTAAATTAAATCAGTTTAGATTTTAGTTCGTAATTCAAATTTACTATAAACTTAACATTAATTCTAAATACACTATAATTTAGATCTGGGTAAATTTTGCATTTCCAATTTGATTCACTGCAGTTCAATGCAATTGAACTATTTTTTCTTTTTTTTTTTGCAATGGACTTCATTAGATATTCGCTTTCTTACTGTGGATTGTTAAACAATTGCAATAATATTGTCTCATTATTACCATAACTGAAGTCATAACAGTGGCGTAACTACAGGGAAGCGACTGGAAGCAACGCTTTCGGGCCCACAAATTTAGGGGGCCCCATTATAAATTTATGTATTTTTTTTTTTTTTTTGTGGTATAGTTGTGCTTCAATCCTCAATTTCTATCGGTGCTATATTTAAATCTGCATCTACTCCATATTGCAAAATAGTCCATTAACTATTAACATATACCAAATTACATTGGAATATCTTTATTAAAAACGGAGAAACCCCATATCCGGTTGTTAAGTTTATATGGCAGCTATAAGAAATAGTAGTTTAATTTCAATCAAATTATATGGTGATCAGGGGCCGCTCCCAAAAAGAATGTGTGTAAAGTTTCATTCGAAGAGTTCAAAAGCTGAGAGAGTAGTTTGAACTAAAAAGGTATATATATACTTTACTGATATATACTTTATGGTATTTACGACGTTTCCCTTAATACGTTATGAAAATCTGGACAAACTTTATATACCCTTTTTACACTTCTTCGTGTAAAGGGTATAAAAAGATGTTAGTAGGGGCCCCTTAATTAGTAGTTGCTTATAGGCCTAAAAAATGTAGTTACGCCACTGAGCCATAAGTAAAGTTACTTTAGGGACTTAACAAAACTACTCCATCTTTACATGAGATCCAATAATTAAGACAAGTTTTTGTCGTAGCATTTTTCTCATAATTAAGAATTTTTCTTTTATGAAAAGTCATAGGTGATATTAAATACATCATTTCAAATAAACAGATTAACGATATTTTAATTATATCCATGAATACAAAAATTATAACTGAATTGGTACACTTCTGGTAATATTTCGAATGAAACTCTCTAAGTGCAGAATTCCCTTTAGTTAGTTAGTTCTCTATTTGATTATTTATATTTATTTATACATAAATTACATATTTATTATAAGCTAAGAACTCACAGCAATGACTCTTGTAGTTGTCTGTCCTCTGTTTCAACAAAAGTTAACAGGTTGTGGATTCCAATCCAACTAAGAGCTGGTCTAAAGAGCGCTTTAAATAAATCTTTAAGAACTGCTAGATGACTCTGTCTCAGAAATAGTTCTTCAAGTACTCTTTTAATTAAAAAAAATCTAATATAAAATCGTTACACAAATAAACGTTAAACTTTAATTAGTATTACTAGGTGAAAATACGTCCACACCTAGCTTACTGTCGGCCAGATAAACCTAACCTAACATAACAAGACCAAAATCAACTCCAAGATCGTTTAATAACTATGTTCACACCAACGCTCCGTTCTTCAAAACCCAAGAATCACATATATATTATTTTAAACTAAAATAAAAACAGTGATATTTTTTGCTATTATTTTTATTATTAAGAATGTCCTGGCTCAGTCTTGTGTTATTGGTGCTGAATCTAATTGTTAGATTTGTAAAAACTTCATTGCGCACCCTTGATAATCTATTCAGAATTATTTGTTCGGCATTGTCAATATGGCAGATCCTTCAGTAATTTCTACCGGCAGGACGTGATTTAATTGCGTATGCAACTATTGAATATCTGTCAATCAATGGCCTGTACGGATGTAAGCCAATTGATAGGAATTATTATTAAAATTAGAAGAAAGTCTGTTGGTTGGTTTGTAACCAGAGTGGTTTAAGCATATGGCAGGTTTGTTCTAAACTCCGGGAGCAATCAATCTTTTACCAGAGTTTTTACATAACTAATACTATCATTTGTTCATAGACTTTTTATTTTATATTTTTTTCAAGACAATACATTTTATATAAGATCTAAACAGACGTTTATAACCGAAATAAGGTATTTGAATATGTTTAGTACTTACAGAGAAATACTAAAACTAAAATGTGTGGACAATATGTTAGAATGAACGATGTGAATAAGGACAGGATATTAGAAAGATGGATAAATACGAACTACCCCGCTTATAACTACAAAATTTAAGTTGATCTATGTTATTAGGCAGTTGACTAGATGAATGATAGATTTTGTAGTAGTGCTGCAAATAAAATATAAGTTAAGCTTATGAATGTTATATAATTGTAGAGGATATGTACATTGAGATATATATAGGTATATTTTCAGAATCTTCCAGAAAATACTTCATTGCGAAGGGCTGTCATTTCTCATTCTTATCTAATATATTAAAGATATAAAGGCAAGAATGTAGCAATGGAAAGAATTAGTATACATACGAAAAGAGATTAAAGCTTCTTTTTCTTTACTTTTGACCGATCATCAAGAGATGTTTTCTAATATACTCAAGTTTGACTATCAAAAATCATTCAACTCAACTTTTCAAACTTTTTAAAGTAAAAAGCATATTCAACATCATTAAACTTCCAACAATATTAGGATTAATTATTATTGAAAGAAATAATTAGTAGTCTTTTTAGTATAATTTGACAAGCAAAAAACTCAAAGTCAAAATTAATTAATTCATTAATTAATACTGTCAAAATTAATTCTTAACAATCCTTTATGTGACGATAATATTTTACCCTGTTTGGGTGCTTTTTTTACACAGCAATAAAAAAGGAATCAAATTTAAATTGAATTTTTAATCTTCATTAATCTATTTATTTAATTATATTTAATTATACTTTTTGGCATTTTAAAGAAGTTTCATTTTTTTGGCTTAATATGGCAATTTTTACTTCCACTCATTCATCTGGTTACTCCTGCAGATAAAACTCAACCACCATTGCGGTATTTTCGTAACTCTTAATCCGGCTGGAATTGAATATGGCGGCCGTCAAAAGTTGCCGGGCAGTATACAAGCACTATTTCGGCCGATTGTCATGCAACAGCCTGAACCCAGCGAAATATCCCGTGTTATGCTTTTTGTGGAAGGTTTTCAACAGGCGACCGAAATTGCTGAACGCATCGTTGAACTTTTTGATCTTTGCGCCAAAATGCTTTCCGTACAGCGTCACTACGACTGGGGACTGCGTGAATTGAAAACTGTTTTGTTGGCTTGTGGCGAAGGTTACCGTTACCGTAAGCGTTTGATTAAAAAAAACAATAAAGCAACTAAAGGCGTTACAGTTCACAGCGATAATACGGATGACGATGACGATGACGATGATGACGTTGCTACTGCAGGTGTTGATATTGGTGCCGACGGTGGTGGTAGTGGTGGCGGTGGCGGTAATGGCTTTGGTTATGGTATTGGTGTGGGCAATGAAAGTGTTAACTTAACAGCTTTAACAAATAGTGCCACTGCAGCATCCACAACAATGACAGCAACCGCCAAAAAGGAAATGTTAGTTGTTGTCCAATGCATACGCACGGCAACAATGTCGAAATTGGCATTGCATGATGTGGCACGCTTTGATATGTTGTTACAAAATGTTTTTCCGGAAATTGAAATTGGAGCCAAGCATAAGTCCACACTGCAGCACAGTCTTAGTGATGCGTTTGTGTCACTTGGCCTTTGTGCTAATGATATGCAAATCGAGAAAGCAATACAATTGCACGAACAGCTTGCCAAGCGTATGGGTGTTGTAGTTGTTGGTCCGCCTGGCTGTGGTAAATCCACAATAATTGCATTGTTGCGTCAAGCAATGACCAATGTAACTATGACATCGTCGCAATCATCGTCATCAACACCATCTAACAGTTCACAAATAAGTATTCACACCATTAGTCCAAAATCTATGAATCGCATACAACTATTAGGTTGCCTGGACGCTGATACGCGGCAATGGACCGATGGTGTGTTGACCAACACAGCTGTACTTGTCAATGCTGAACCAAAGTATAAACACTCATGGATTGTATGTGATGGCAGCATTGATCCGGAATGGATTGAGGCACTTAACTCAGTGTTAGACGATAACAAGTAAGTTCAATAAAATTTGTGCTATTTATTTCTACTTACATATATCATTGCATTTTGCCAATCAAAGATAAATTCCGAAATGATGTCGCATATGAAAGGAAGCTAAAAGCTGAAAGGATTAAGCTTTTGTAAATGAATAACAAGTCCAAATCAAATACAAAATGCAAACCTTATTGACTGTTAAGAATAATTTATTCGAAACGTTTTGCAATCCCAATGTTTCTTCAAAATAATTTCCAATTATTGTTGTTTAAATCGTAGAAAACTCTAATATTCATTTTAAGAGCTAATCTTTACTCAATCTCACAAATATCCTTTATCGAAAATATAAATTTACATAAATTTTACGCTACAAAATACTACTTTTTCAAAGAGTTTGAGCATCAAACTACTCTAATAGTTGAAGTATACTCAACCTCAAACATTTGAATCGATCACTGTTCGAGGTACTTGCACCCCAAGTACCTCGACTTTTACAGTTTATTTTATTACCGAATATAAACTATAAATTCTCGAATCTTTAAACCCTAGCCACCCTTTTGAAATATAGCTCCAACTAAGAGTACCAATGTGATAACGCTTATAAAACATCTTTGTATAAATTATTCTATATTGTCACAGAAACAACAATTTTTAGTGCATTTTTATAGCATTTTTGTATTATTATATTACATCTGTTTGGTTGGTAGCAATAATAGCATCACATAATTAGCAATTATTTGCTATTTTAATAACACAATCCCACCAAGAACCTCTAACTGCTTTCTCACTAATAAGCAGCCTAAGAAAAAGAACTTCCCTAAAAATCTGTTCTCTCTGTTTGCCAAAACGGGGCAGTTAGAGGTTTTCGTAACTTCTACATTAGGTGTTGAATGCAAGGCAGTTTCTCTACGTGGAAACCTATACAACTGTGACCTTAAAGAACTGGAATTATCCTAGCATTACGGACCCAGCTCCTGTTAATGAGTTTTCTGAATTTGATCTTATTGTATATAGGCCACAACGACCGAGATATTTTATATATTATGAATGACTTCCACCTATTTTTAAATAGATTCAGAAAGTGAAAAAAGGCATCTCTCTTAACGATATCTAGGAAACATACACTGGTGACCCTAAGCAGTTGTCAATAGAAACGCCAAGACGAGCTAAACTGTTTGCTTTTTATTCCCTTCAACCGTCCTATGATTTGAACCCTTTATGACTGTCATGTCCTTACGTTAACTTAGTCCGGCAATTTCTATGGGTTTTAATTTAACTAACCAACTTTAATTTAACCGGTCTTTGTGGGTACTTAAGGTTAGAACCACTGCTATATACACGCTCTTAACATGTATAAATTTATAATATATTATACAATATATATCAATAATATATGTGCATAGCTTTTCGCATTAAATTAAAAACGTGTGGAATATCTGAAATAGTTTTTATTTTTACTTAAATTCGTATTAAATAATTGCATCATATAATTATTAATTATATTAAAAAGTATATAATCGATTTATTTATAATAGTTTTTACGAATTAAATTGCTTATCAGTTAAATCCGTTTTTGTTTTTTTTTTTTGTTTTTTGGAACTATTAACTGATGATAAGTTTTTAATTACAAATTTAAATTTTTACTTATAAACAAATATCAAATTAAAATTTTGAAGAATAATGTTTTATGCAAGTATTTTACATATATGAAATGAGTAAAATAATATTAAAAATACATTGTTTTTTTTTGTGTCTGTTCCAATACAAATAAAATTTTGTCTATGTTCACAGTTGTGCCTTAAGGAACACTTGATTTAAAAAATATTTGCACATAATTAAGTAATATTAAAAAAAATTATAACAAGAAAAATATTTCTTTTATACACCATATCTCTACGATAATTACATCTATGCAAAATTCTTGAATCTCCAAGGTTTCATTGTCAAGATTATTTATCAAATTTTTTAAATATTTTGAAATTTAAATATTTTAACTTTAATTATTAGTAATTTAAATATTTAAAGTAAATCAATGTAAGAATATTTATGTATATATAATATATACCAGGCTTTCTCAACTGTCGGTCAGTAATATTGGTACCGGTCTTTGCAACACACATTGACTATTTTTTCAGTCCGCAGTATGTGTCCAATATAACGAAGGGTAAACAAATGACAATATTCTTTCATTGACTGTATTCTATATAATAAATCATACATTCCTTATATAGAATAGTCAAGGGTTGTAAGAATATTTCTGGAATAGAAAACGAATTTGAAAGCATCACTATCACAGAAATAAAAACTAAAGTACTCCACAAAATTGCGGCTTCTACACAATGTGCTTGAGAAAGTAATATAGGTACATATCGAAATCATAATTTTACAAGTCAAGAAACCAAGGACAGTAAGTTTTTCAAAGAATGTTTCGATTTAGCATCACCGATTTAGCTGTGCAGAAAACATTTCGTTCAATTGGACGACTATTTAATATAGCATATATATGAATCAGTGGCATATATAAGAGTGACGTTTTGGGTTTCAAAGCCTCATAAAATAGTTTTGACTATTTTACACTATTTACAATGGTTTCAGAGAAAATAGTGAATCTAATATACTTTAATTTACCATTCAGTCATGCCATGATGAATTATTAATAACTTAATATTTTTAATGAGGAAAATAATACAAATTTTTCTAAATTATTTATGTCATTTAAAATATTTTCAGGACATGTACTAAATTTGTGTTGCAGTATTTATAATGAAAAACAAATTTAATTAATTACATTCACAAAAAAATTTAATTCAAATTACATTAATTAATAAATGTTCACCTATTTGACGCTTTGAATTTTAGACAGAAAATCTCCATTTGTATTTTTGCTCTGTTCTGTTATATATGCCACTGACCGAAATATTATATATATTGCATATAATATATAATAAATACATTATAAATATTATATACAATATTTATTATATAGCTATATTTGATATATAATAAATATAAAATACATATTACATATAATTATATATAATACATATAATATATATAATATTTATAATATTTATAAAATATATAATATATAAAAGACAAATTATATATAAATATATAAATTTAAGTATATATTAATCATTTTTCTTGTTAGAAAAAAATTAAACAAATTACATCCAACATGAAACTCAGTGTGAACATAGCTTATTATAACGTATAGTCATATAAATTTATAAAATATTAATAAAAATTAATATTAATATTTATAAACACTCTTTAAAAATGTGTAAAATTAAAAGTGGGAAAGAAATTAGTTTTGGCTTTGCCGAAGCTGTAATACCCTTCACACAGATAGCTATGCTACAAATCAATTATTTATTTATTTACAAAATGCTTTTTGATGCAAAATTTAATGCACATATACACATTTATAAATATAAGCTAATTTTTAGCAACCATTTTGTATGGGAGCTATATGAGTACTTTAGACAATCAATTTCAAAAGCTTATCAAATTGATCTATCTGGATTGATAAAAAAAAAGTCCCTATGCAAATTTTCATTTGATTTAATCAAAAGCTTAAGCTTAGAGATCCCTTTAAATATTAACAGACGGACAGACCGATTCGTTTTATTGTGCTTTTCAAGAATCCATAGTGAATGGTTTATACGATCCTTGAAGTTTTCTGCACTGTATTGCAAACATAACATACCATTAATTCACAATAGTGTTATGAGTATAAAAATAAAATATGTGTAATATATATAAAAAGAAATTAACACAATATAAAAAAATTATTAATACAAAAATATATAAATAAAAATATGAAGAAAAAAAATATATAAATAAAAATATGAAGAAAAAAAATATATAAATAAAAATATATAAATAAAAAAATATAAATAAAAAAATATAAATAAAAAAATATGAATATAAAAATATAAATAAAATATATAAATATAAAAAAAAATATATAAAAAAATATATAAAAAATATATATACAAAAAATAATATATAAAAAATAATATATAAAAAAAAAATATAAAAAAAAAATATATAAAAAAAATATATAAAAAAAATATATAAAAAAATATATATGAAAAATATATAAAAAAAATATATATAAAAAATATGAATATAAATAAATTAAAATTAAGTAAGTAAAATTAAGTAAACAAATATAAATTAAATTTAAAACATATCAAAATGTGTCCGTCTATTTTAAGGCTTATCTGAACTTGAATGTGTTTATATAGTGCTTTTCTATATAAATTTGTCGATGTTTTGAAGTTTGCTGACTTTTTAATCTGGACGAGATGTTATAACACTTCATATAAGATGTGTTTTTAAAAAAAAAAGTTCAAATAAGTCTCTAAATAAATAAGCACATTTTAAAAAAAAAAAATTAAACTCAAGACAATTGAGTAATAAATAATAAATTAATGAAAATTCAAAAAAACTGATCAATTAAAATTAAAATTAAATAAGAAAAAAAATTTAAACCAAACTCATAAAATATATAAGAACGTTAAGGGGAAGATTTAACACTATCAGTCATTAAGAAATTTTTGCAGCATAATGTGGCATCTGTTGTTGTTGTTGCTGTGGCGTGAGCGGCTGTGATAGGGCCGCATGCGCACGCATATGGGCAGTGTGTTCCAGCATATGAGGAGCTGTCATATGCTGGAACATACTGCACTGCTGCTGGTGGATATGATGGGCAGCATGTGCGTGATTATGGAAATCCGTTTGTAATATGATTTCGGGTTCAATCAATGGAATCTCATGCTCTTCATTGCTACTTGCACCGGTAGCACTACCACTATTGTTAGTTCCAATATTTTTACTATTACCATTACCACTGCCGGGCAATTGGTGGCCAGTACTGCCTGCTATTGTAGTAATTGTTGCTGATGAAGTTGATGTGTCATGATTGCTAAATATTTCTTGTTTTATACCATTAGGTGGATACAATGTTGCACTTAAGTTTTGATGTAAAATAGGGTGGCATAATTGCGGCATTAAAGTAACACCGGCAATAGGCAATGGATGATGAGGAAATGTTGGTGGTGGATATAAGAGACCCTTATTTAATTGTGGCATGTGCGGTGGAGTAATTGTATTTACAATAGTTGCAGGTGCAACATTTGTTACTGTTGTTGTTGCAGTTGAAGACGCTATAATAACAGCTGTACTAATATTACAATTATTGCTTGTATTGGTGTTAGTAACATTAGATGGACCATTGTTAGTATTATTCGCCTGAGAGATAATATTCGTGGATGTACAGTTGCTAGCAGTTGTAGTGGCGGTTGTTCTATTATGATTATTGTCCTGTAGTGGCAGTGGATCGGCAATCACAATTTCTGGTTCAACTGAGACTTGAGGCACAGCAGCAGCAAATTCTGCTGCAGCTGTTTGCATTGTCTCATCTGTAACAATAATACCCTTTTTACGTTCCTTACGTATTTTATCACGCAGTTTCTCCATTTGACGAAAAGCTTCATTAGATCTGCGCTGTTTTTTGCGGTCACGATCACGTTCTTGCTCCAACTTACGATATTCGGGATCCATTCGTTTTATTCGTTTTCGTTCCCGGTCACGTTCTCGCAGGAGCATTTTGGCACGTGCTTCTTCTTCAGGTGTCAGCTGAAACAAAATTAAAAAATACATTTATCTTTTCAAAATTCACTTTTTAATTTTAGCAAAAAAATTATGATTTCGTTCTAATATAAACACAGCAAGTAAATTTGTTAATAAAACTCTGATAGCAAAATAACAAAACTCCAGAAAAATTACCGAACCTAAAAAGTCAACTACGACTTTGGGTCAGTTGGTTAAGGTACACTGATTCTGAGCTTCACACTTGACAGGACCCGAGTTCGATTCCTGGTACTTGCAGTCTCAAAAATAATTATTTACGAATAATTAAATACAAGAATTATTTCCAAGACCACTGACGATGGGTATTTGATAATACTCGAAACAGCTGTATGGTCAGCCAAAAATTCAATTAATTAAAATAATATAAAATAAATTTTAGTTGTTGTAATTCACTACTATTCGAAAAAACCTCTTTATAAAAAAATTTTTTATAAAAATTTCACAACAATAATTAATTAAACTCAATAAAAAACTGGCTATAAAGTTGCGGATAAATCTAAATATCGATTATCAGTGATATTTATACGACATACATATGTATACTACAAAAATACTGTATATATATATATATATATATAAATATATAATATATATTATATATATATATATATATATATTATATATACTATAATACACTATATATATTACATATATATTCTATATATATGCTTGCGTGGGCCGCAAGTCCCTGGGAGCGAGTACAGAAGCAACGTGACTGGTTGTATTTAACTTGGAAAATGCAAGCACAATCCTTGTCGTTCTGAATTCAAGCTGTCGCACAGCCTTCACATTGCATCCTGAATAGTTACCTGGCACCCACTGGGTGACGAACTAGTATTGCAGACCTGCTCTGTTGAACATTTCAATTTTAAATAGATGTTGTTTACATATTTACATTGTGTGTATTTCAGATTATTAACACTTCCATCTGGTTGGCGCATACAATTTGGAAACAATGTCAATTTCATATTTGAGACGGATGATGTGCAGCATGCTTCGCCGGCTACAATATCCCGCATGGGTATAGTTAATATGAGGTAAATTTTGTAATCACTTTTTGTTAATTGAAAAAGTTTCATTTAAATATATTGTTAGTATGGAAGATTTTCCACAAAAAGAAAGTTTGGCCACTCAACTGGAGAAGGAAGAATTTGGTGGTATGTTGCAAAGCTTTTTGAATGATAACTTTGAACCAGCTTTCAAGTGGCTAGAAAAGGAATATTTACAGTGAGTAAAGACCAAAGCAAATATATTTCGAATATTGTAATTAACATATTTACAAAATAGTTCAATACCAGCTTTAAGTAAATCTAGCGTATTACGCGCACTTTGGTTACAAATCCAACATGAAACCATTCATGGTCGTGATGAGTTCTGTATAACACTTTGCCATGCACTCTTTGGTTATTTACCACCGGAGAGACACAATGAATTGGCAAATGTGATTTTTTCAAATGCTAATATTTACGTACCAAATCCAAATCGCGCTGAATTAGCATATTTCGATGTACAGCGCAATGCAATCGAGTTTTATAAGTCAGACCCTAACGACATGGATATCAGCAACGGCACTAGTACGATACAGCGTGAGGAGCAACTCATACAAACTGCAGCCATGAAATCTTATTTGCATATTTTACATACCTACTTGGAGGCAACCATGAATATGCCATTTTTAATCGTAGGTCCCACAGGGTCAGCAAAGACTTTGCTGTTGCAGCATGCAGTACAAGAACACTCAGGTTACGATTTGGTATTGATAAATTGTTCGGCGCAATTGACATCCAAACACATAATGCATAGTCTTAAACAAGTAAGCGTTGACATACTACATTCGAACCCAATTTTAAATGAATTTCACCCATTCCTTGCAGAACTGCACAGTTGTTAGTGGACTTCGCGGACGTGAATACAAACCGAAACAAATGCGACTTATTTTGTTTTTGAAAAATTTGGATTTATGCCATTTGGATTGTTATGGAGCAAGTGAAGTTGTTGAATTCTTATTACAACTGGTACAACGCAACGGTTTCTATGCGGAGAATCTGGAATGGATCAGTGTAAAGGGCCTACAGATATGTGGCTCCATATCACAAACAAATACAAATGCTAATTTATTGAAAATTGCTTCACGTTTCTTGGCCATAAATCAATTTCTACGTGTCAACTATCCAACCGATACAGATATGCTAAATATAGTACAAAGTCGTTTGGAACCAATATTGTCAACGAATCAATTCAAGGCAGCTGCTGTTAATGTGCAATTTGTTGTTGAGTGTTTGATGGAGTTTTATAATAAGGTAGAATATAAGAATATGTGGTTCATATCAACAAACTAATATCTTTTATACAATATTTCTAGTTTCAAATGACATTTAATCCAGGCACACAAGGTTATAACCACTATCAAATCAGTCCAAAACTTATTATGAAAGTATTGAATGCATTGAGGTATTACCCTGAAAATAGTTTTAACGAGGTAAGTAACACAAATTTTATAAAATACACTAAATATATCCCTTTACTGTGAAACATTATAGATGAACTAACAACATACCTCTTTCTAATTTTATTCTAAATTAGACTATTTAATTATACACATAGTTTTGGATGTGTATATGTATGTTGTATATATATAATTTGGCCTGATAAACTTTTTTTTTCTAAACAGTTTTATACTTATATTTTCTAGTATAAGTACTATTTATATTATATATATATGAAGATGATGCTATCTGAAGAAAACTAGACCACCATAGACCGATTCGTTACGATCATACTTAAACGGAAAAAAATGTGATCTCGAAAATGATTAATTTCATATATGAGACAAACAAACAAGACTAACGAAATAAAAAATAATTGTTATGAATAACTAACACAGGGACCCTACCCTACCTGAAGTGTTCCCGATAAAGTTCTAAGTAGAAACGGTCCGGCACACGAAGGGGATTGTTTTTAGTCTGTGCAAGACGGGCATACCACTACTGTGACGACATAGTGACAAAAAACAAAGTACATATATATATATATATCTATATATATATATAGAGTTTAGAATATTTTTTCTAATCAAATTGATAGTTCCACTTTTTATTAAAAAAACTTTAAAAAATGAGTATTAAGTTTGTTGGAAGGCTCTTGAAATTGAAAAATAGTAGTCACATATCTTTAAACAATCTGTCAATTATTGGAACTTATATATATATACAATATATGTTGTAAGCTAGTCTATATGTAAACTATATCTATGTATATACATGTTCCAATAATTGACATATAATTGTGAATCATATATATAGAGAAAATATAAATATGGTAAACACAAATATTCGAATGAAATTATAATTCAGTATATTCTTCCGATTGAGTTTATATATAACGAAATACATTAACGTATTTATTATGTATATAAAATCACAATAAATATGGAACTATAAACACGCATAAGTTTTTCTATGCGAAACAGGAACTTCATCAGGAAAGCAATAAACTGTAACATTTTCGCTCCAATACTATGTATCATTAACTGATCTAATTAGCTAATTAACTGATTAACTGTCTTAATCGAAGATAATGATTCACCATTAAAATATTTCAATAAAAAATAGTATGACAATAATGGCTTCTATAATACAATCTTGATTAAATGAAAAAAAATTTCAGAAATTAATGCCAAACACTGCCAGTTTTTGACCAAATTTGCCTGATTTGAATTCCAATAATTCCTTACGATTTGCACGACTTGTTCACTCCTGAGAACACGTTTCAACGACCAAGAAGAGATAATAAAAAAATCGAAAACTGCTCTTCTCCAGCCAGACATAAATTCGATTATAAAAAATGTTTCGAATATTGAATCAAGCGCTAGCATAAGTGAGTTTCAGTCTATGAAAGAGATTACTTTACCAAAGACTATATCGATTTTCAAGAACGAAATAATATTTTCAATATCTAAATAAAGACCTGAAATTTTTTAATCAATATGAGGCAGAACGAGGCAGAAAGTATTCCACATTTTTTTATGATATGTAATTTCTTTTCGTTTAATAGTTGACAGATTAGTTAATTATTAGCGAACATGTCTCTATATATACATATACAATATATAGGTTTGAGGAACTTATAATATATATAATATGATTTTCTTTTGTAGGCACTTTATTGTGAAATTGTATCAGTATTTAAAGACCGGTTAGCTACTGCGGAAGATGCAGAATCCTTTGATGGTATCGTCAAACAAACAATGCGCAAATTTTATGGAAAAGAGGTAAGAGGAAGTAGTTAGTGCTCATTGAAGATATATTGACTAATTTCTAAAGTTATATTATGTGTGTATATAAATGCACAAGTTATGTAGAATTGCTTTCAATGTTTATATTAGAATTTTTCCTTTTAACTTTCAATGGTCTCATCACAGATCTGTTTTCCGCTTTTATTTCAGAAAGTATTCTTTATTCCAAGCTCCATAAAACATGATACTAAACTAAACGCTTTGCAACATGATGAATGGCTAGAAGAATTACAAAAACAAATCAGTATTTGCAGTAAGTCATGTACTGTCATTTATATATTTCTTACTTGTTCTTACTTGCTGTTATATATATAATGTTCTTGGTTCATCAATTGATTATTCGTTGAAATATTCACTATGTCACTAAAAAACCACAACTAAAAATAAAAGCATATTTACCAGCTCGTTTTATTTTTTTTTTGCAAATATAGATGCTGAACGCTTTGTAATAGATGTGCCTATTACCAAGGAACTTTTGGATCAAACGGCTAAAATTGCACGCCTACTAGCACGTAATGAAACACATTTAATATTATTAGGTGAACCTGGCGGTAGACACTTGCATGCATTGCATATAGCAGCCACCTTACAGCAGTGCAAAGTACAAGTCCTACAAGGAGGCAATGGTTATAGCTTGAATGATTTTTATAATGATCTCAAAATGGTAGATATATGAATAATCGTAACTTCAGTCATTTATATAATATCAAATATCACAAAGGCCATACAAGCTGCTGCATTGGACGATCAATGTACATGTCTGTTGTTAGAGCATTGTTGGATTAGTTATTTGCCGGATGTTATGAAGCCCATAGAATCAATTATAGAAGGCAGTGAAATTCTGGATTTGTTTGGCGAAGACTTGGAGTCGATAGCAAGTACACTAAAGCCTGCAGCACAATTGGAGGGTCATCAGGACTCTATGAGTGCTTATTTTTTGAAAAGTATAAATATTATATAAAATAATAAACAAGATTCAAATAGAAACTTATTTTTGTAACAATTTCAGGAGCAAAAAGAAATTTACATTTGATAATTTCACTTAATGCCAGAAGTCCTGAGAACAATAATTATTTTGAAAAATACCCAAGTTTATATCGAAACATGGAGTTTTTGTATATACGCACTGCATCACAGGAAACCGAAAGTATGCTACCAAAGAAGTACATTGAAATGTTAAGTGACACTGATGCTAGCAAGGAGAAGGAGAAGGTACCCGTCTCATCTTATTTTGCGGACGCACTAGAAACTCTAATACCAACACAAGCACCGCAAAGATACTACCAACTTATACGCTCCTACTATCATATTTATAGCAACAGTTCCCAGGACATACGTAAACGTTTGGATAAATTACAGGTAAGTGAAATAACATCCTCAATCACTTTAAACAAAACTATATAAATATAATACTTTTAGAATGGCGTAAACAAACTGGCAAGCGCACATGCTGTGGTTGACACATTGAAATCGAATGCCATTAAGCAGGAAGAGGCTTTGGCTGAAAAACGTAAACTAGCCAACGACGCATTGGAGATGATATCGTCTACGATGCGTAACGCAAATGAACAGAAGTCGAATATGTTGGAACTAAAGAAACAGACACAGGTGAGCAGTGATAAGCTAAAAGAGCGCCAAAAAGAAATACAACAGGAACTTAGCGAGGTAGAGCCTATACTAGCAGAAGCTAGTGCAGCAGTTGGACAAATTAAATCGGAAGCATTGAGCGAAATACGTTCACTGCGTGCACCACCTGAAGCCATACGCGATATACTCGAAGGCGTGCTGCGTTTAATGGGCACACGCGATACATCCTGGAACAGCATGAAAACATTCTTAGCTAAACGTGGTGTAAAAGAAGACATACGTTCATTTGATCCAGCAAGAATCAGCGCTGAAAACTGTGATGCTGTCGAGAAATTGTTACAAACAAAAGCCGAATCATTTGATATGAAAAATGCGAAGAGAGCTTCCGCAGCAGCGGCTCCGCTTGCAGCCTGGGTTAAAGCTAGTGTACGTTATTCGAGAGTCATACAAAGCATCAAACCCTTGGAACGTGAACAAAATGAATTGCAACGCAATTTGGATGTAGCGGAAAATGAACTGCAATCACTAATGACTGGTCTGGATGATGTTGATAATCGCGTCAAGCAGTTGTCACTGAAGTTGAATGCATATACGCAGGAAGCGGCTGTGCTGGAATTAAAATTAGAAGAAGCACGCAATACATTAGGTGCGGCACAAATACTAGTCGAAAAGTTGAGCTCAGAATTTCACACTTGGAGCAACCAAATGAGTGAATACAAGCAAGCACACAAAACACTGGACACAAAATCCTTGCTAATCGCTTTAACTGTCAACTACCTATCACACATGCCTTTGGATCTAAGAGTGTAAGTCACAATATACACATTTTATAGATTATATGCTATTTACATTATATGCTACATTCTTTCATAGTGTTCACATAGGTCAGTTGAGCAGCGAACTGGAGCTCTCACAACCATTTGAGGTGCGTAAAAATCTTCTAAGTGAACAAGAACAAATTATATGGGAGAGCATGGGTCTGTCGCGTGATGCACAAATAATTGAAAACGCTGCCTTATTGAGGCAAATGCTTGAACTACCATTTGGTAGCTACCCCACACCACTAGTGTTAGATCCCACACAAACTGCAGTGAATTGGTTGGAGGAGTATTTACGTTCCAAACAAAGGTCCTTTGAAATAACAACACAAAATTCAGACCATTTAACTTATACACTGGAGCTGGCAGTACGTTTTGGCAAAATACTTGTAGTACAAGATTGTCAAGATCTCCGTCCACCACTTATGCAATTATTAGATGGCAGCATTTACGTGAAATTCAATAAAAAACAATTACAAGTTGGAACGAAAATGGTGGATCTACATGAACAATTTCAGTTGATACTAGTGACCAAGGGCAGCAAGTTGGATTTGCCCACCGAAATAAACACACACTTGACTTGCATACCATTTACTGTGACCGCGATTGGACTAGCTGATCAGTTGATGTCTAAAGCTATCATACTGAAAAATCCAGAATTAGAAAAGAAACGCATAGAGCTATTGAAGAACGAAGGTGTCTTATTGAAGCAGCGTATCGATCTGGAGGACAAGCTGTTGGAAGAACTTTCTAATGCACAAGGCGATGTACTGAAAAATGAGAAACTTTTAGAGACACTCAACAAAGTCAAGGAGAGCAGCAGTTTCATTGACAAATCACTGAAAGAAAGTGCACTTGTTAAGGAGACTCTATTGGCAGAGTACACACAGCTCCAAGAGCTATGCACGAAGGCAGCACAATTTTATGTGGGACTGACAACATTCTACGAATTATCGGCATTAGTTTATATAAAATTATTTTTACGCATTTTGAGTTCGTACGAAACCAAAACTAGTCAACACGAACAGAAGGCCTATGAACAGCTGGTGCGTGTTACTTTTCAGTACTTGGCGCGTTCCACCATGCGGTCAGGTCATTTGACACTGGCGTTGTATATTTGCCGGACCGCTTTTGCTGATCACATATCTGTGACAGAATGGGAATTATTTGTAACGAATTTTATGTCAAGCGCAGACGCCAGCATTGTGAGTTTAAATACTAGCAAAATGCAGTTGCCCGATTGCTTTACCAAGGAAGCGTCTATTAAATTACAAATATTATTTGCACAAACTCCGGACTTGGAGAATCAAATGCAGTTGCATAAGGTAACTGCTTGGAAAAGTTACATCAACGAGCAGCAATCAAAAGATTTACCAGGTATGTATATTTGTCTCATAATATCATACATATAGTTATTGACATAAATTATTGTACATATAACAGAGTATTGACTAACATATATAACAAGGACTCTTTTACAATACTTTATCATGAGCCTAGTAACATGGGATTATATCTGTAAAAACTAGTATATACATTTTAGCTATAAATTTGAGGAAAATAGTAATTGCGATAATGCATAAGATTAATAACAAATAGAAAACATGGATCATATTAATGATCTGTACTACTTATAAATGATAATAATGATCTATGCTACTTATAGATGATAATTATGATCTTTGCTACTTATAGATCATAGAGATTGTTACAATAGATTAATCCCAATTGAAGTTATAAAGAGACATTTTTGAAACAACCTTAAATATCAATTCACCTAACACAGATTTTCCAGGCATTGTATAACAAAGACATTCCCTAACAAATCTCTAACTAATCCAAAGTCAATGAAGCAATCGTGTCACTTAAAAACAGAAAAGCAGCAAGTTTAGACAACATTCCAACCAAATGATTTAAAGCTAGCTAATGCCATGCTTTATTTGCAGTTTAGAGAGATCTACCAAAAGATCTTGGAGAATCTTGATAGTGCATAGAGCTGCTATAATCAATATAAATCGAACTCTATTAGGAAAATATGTTACGATGTCGAACATGAATAATCCACATACTTCAATTCACGTCCCACTGTACCCCTCTAAATAATGACCGCACACTGGACCAGTTTGCAGGTTTCACCTCAGTGTCTGCTGAGGACTATTGCTATTTAGTCTTCTCAGAGTGTGTTCTAACCTACACTATTCTGCACATTTCTGTTGTTGTTGTTGTAACCTGCTGAGATATGTAAACAGATAACATGAAAGGATATAGAAGACGATTACATGGGTGTGGTAGTTGTTGCCATTTCCGATTTTCTTGTATTGTATGACCTGTCCGAGCACACACACATTGTTATTAGTTATTCTCTACGACCTCCGGATGCAAAATTTTTTATATACATTGGTTCATAAGACTGAATTTTGAACTGCACTGCAGTGATACTCTTCCATATATCATCCCTATGAATAGAACTGTTTAAGAACTTCTAAGGCACATAACTCCTGTTTCGCACTTCTTTTACCCCACCATATTTTCACCCAAGTATTCGTATTTGTAATTCCTTTCATATTATATGCCATATATATCAGATCTCACACAAGCTACTAAAACAACAACAAAATATATAACATTATATCGCACACTTCATGTCTTATTCCAGGTGACATTCAGTCCACATTTCATCGCGTTTTATTAACACAAATTTTACGTCCCGATTTACTAACACACCAAATAAGACAAATGGTAACTGAAATTTTGGGCATATCAACCGATGCCATATCACAACCCACAATAGAACAAATTGTCGAAGAATCTAGCGCTGATAAGCCCATACTTGTGATAACACCTACTGAAAATGATCCGGCCAATGAAATAAGAAGTGTAGCGATTAGAAAACTAGGCAAGGAAAAATACAATGAAATATCCATAGGCAAAGGCATGGAACGGCGTGCACTAGAAGCAATACGCTTAGCAGCGGAAACTGGCAAATGGATTTGCATAAAAAACGTGCACTTGGTACCACAATGGTTAACAGCACTAGAGCGTGATTTGGATGCAATGAAAAAGGTGGATACATTTCGTTTATGGTTGATATGCGAAACAACAGTGGGACTTAATGAGTCACTTATGTATAAATATCTGAAGGTACTCTATGAATTTCCAAGTGGCTTGAAACAGAAAGTGCGTCGTATGATGCAAAATTATGCAGCCAGTGAACAACGTAATAGTGTTAAGGATCCGAAGTTGTTGAAAATAAGAATTGTTATGTTCATTGCAATGGCTGTGCTGCAGGAGCGGCGTCTCTTCATACCACAGGGTTGGTCAAAATACTATGAATTTGGCGAAGCTGATCTGAAAGCGGCATTAGAAGTACTTTCGTGGTTGGATGGTATGACAGCAAACGGACGTTGCGATTGGAATATCTTGCAGCGCTTGTGCGAGAGCATAGCGTTTGGTGGACGCATCAATAATGCTAGAGATTTACAAGTACTGCAACGTTATTTATTTGAATTTTGCAATGCAGACGTGTTAAGTAGTCGTTGGAGTCCGTTACGTATGAATTTTACAATTCCGACAACAATGCAATTGCAGGATTACATGAATGCAATAGAGAAATTTCCAGATAGTGATGAACCGGAAATATATAAATTATCCAAAAATTCAAATGTCAATCGTGAACTGGAACATGCAAAGGAAGTAATCAGGGTGTTGCGACGTGCGTACTATGAACGTGAACATGTAAATGGCGTTGTGGGCATTTCGAGTGATCCAATAACAACTAAAACAACCGGTGTTGAACATAAGCTGGAGAAGCAAATCAAGCCGATTTTAACGCTGTGGAGAAAATTAGCAGGCGTAAGTATATTGACAATTAAATAAAATAATAATTATTTATACCTTTTGTGTGGTCGTTTCCTTTCATTGTTCTTTTCATTGTTCTTTTCATTGATGCATAGAAATGCAACGTCGTCCAAACGGCCAAGGAGCAAGAAAGTTTGGTGGAAACGAGTGTAAGTGGTCAAACGCCATGGACCCTTTTCGTGTTAAGCGAATTGAAAATTGCTGCCAAGTGCTTTCAAGAAGTACACAACACACTAACAACAATTTACACCTGGCTAAAGGAGACGCAAGGACAGTTGAATGCAGCCAATATAGAGGAGAGCCTACTAAAGACTTTGGCGGAGAATCAGGTACAGAATTTCAAGTTATTAAATGTGTATACATGGAGCTAAAAAAAAAAATAATTGTACATGGCGCAGACACCAATTGGCTGGCTGAAACTGTGGTCTGGTCCACAAACCACACTGGACTACATAAAGGCAATTGTCTTGCGCGCACAGGCGGCGGAGGCGCGCTGTCGCCATGAAATGCAGTTGGAGTTCTGTCAGGAGATTGATTTCCTCAAAGTGTTCAATTGTCAAACGTTCTTGTCTTGCTTGAAATTGCTAAATTCACAAAAACTGCGCAAATCCTGTAAAGATTTGGAGCTAACGTCGAGCGTCACAATTACAAGCGCCGACGTCGACTGCGCACACAACGTCAAAATTGCACCGCTTAAGGTGAGTGAAATTATGTAAAATTCAAATTTTGTTGAATGCAAAACGTTCTGTGCTGCTAAGCAAAACCAAAAAAATCAAAGAAAAAAAATTATAAACAAACATTTGAATTTTTTTTTGAGATTTTTGCACATTTGGCGAATTCCGTGTTATGAATGCGAGCACCGCCGCCGTCGCCACCACCGTCTCTTTGTATGCTGCACTGACTTTTGTTATTCGCCTTTGTTTGTGTCTGCTGCTGCGCTGCCTTCACTTTCGTTTGTTGTATATTTTTTGGCTTTTTTTGTTTTGTTATTTTTTCTATCCATGTTTTTTGCTCACCTTTCCCATTTTTGCCATATATCTTCACTTCAACCGTTTCCACACACGTCTTCTCAACAATTTAAGCACTTTAAACAATTTTCTCCGTTTATAATTTTGTATATTTTCAATAAAACAAAATCGAAATTATTAGAAACAAATTTTCACTGCTCGCGGAGTTTTTGTTTTTGATTGACATTTGTGCAGCGTTAATGACATTTACTGCAGGCACTCAGCAAACTAGTTTTTGCTTTGCTTTGCTTTGCTTTGTGTTATACCAAAAAAATATGTTGTGGATTTCACTAAATTTGGTATAAAATTCGATTCTATTGTGGAAACGAATCTTTCTGAATTCGCAATAAAAAAATAATTAATTAATTAAAAAAATTATTTCCTTAATAGCTAACATATATAACAAATATATGTTATTGTTATATTAAAATTTAATATTATTTTATTTTATGACAAATAAACTAAAAATAAATACGAGAAGTGAACAACGCTCAAATAAGTCAAACTATTTGTGGAACGTAAATCACAAAAAATAATATAAACATTTTTATGTACATACTTAATAAGGCAAGATTAAAGCATATATAACAAATATATGTTATTATTATATTAAAATTCAATATTATTTTATTTTACGACAGCAAACTAAAAATAAATACGTGAAGTGAACGCTCAAATAAATCAAACTATTTGTGGAACGTAAATCACAAAAAAAATATAAACATTTTTGTGTACATAAATACTATTATTATTAAGGCAGGATTTTGTGCTTATTTAAATTTATTTTTTATTAAATGTCCACTCAAAATCCGAGTTTTTAAACTAAATTAAATAAATGAAGTTGTATACCAGTTTTCAAATATACGGTTAGAGACCACGAAGGCGTTCCACATTAAAAATTATGAATTTTGCATGTTAAATTAACAAATTCAAAATAATATAAAATATTTTTATATATTTAATTACATATTTATATTTATAAATAATTTTTTATAAATATTTTCATATATTCTTTCTATAAGAAGTAGAAGATAGAAATACTGTTGGTATTGGATTGTACGACTATATAGTGGATCGTATAGGTTTCATGTGGATGTCTATTGTAACAAAATAAATTTGGAATGATAAGCTAATATATCCAATTAGAATCAAAAAGATATAAAATGTTTTATATATTTAAATACATATTTATAAATAATTTTTTATAAATATTTTCGTATATAGTTTCAATAAGAAATGGAAGATAAATACTGGTGGTTGATTGTACGACTGTAAAGTGGATCGTACAGTGTTTTTATGTGGATGTGATATAGTTATTAAATGCAATGAAATAAATATTATATCAATAAATACATTATTTTATTTTCAATTTAAATACATTTCTATACATATTTATATTTTTATAAAAATTAACCGCAATAAATTTTGAATTAATTATTTCTTGTCTTTCTCAATATGTGTTATACACATGTTTGGAATAACTGTTATAACAGCTATAATGAAATATTAAATAAATTTGTGAGATTTTCTATTATGTATATGTTCAGTTAAAGACTTAATAGCAATTAATTAATTTCATTGCTTAATATATCTTTGTATGATTTTATCTATATAATAACTAATTTTTTTTTTGGCTCAATTAGAACATATATTTTTTATCACAATTATAATATATTAAATTGAGTTATAAACCCTCAATATTATGTTTTAAATCAATTGTATTATATATTAATTGAGTTATATACTAATTTATTCTCTTTATTTAAATCTTTATGTGAATTTATTAAAATCCTTATTTATATCTTATTATTTGTATAACAAATAGTTTTTATAACTGTTATAAGAACTTTTTAAAAGGCTTAATACCATATACATATGTAAAAGTTCAGTTATAGACTTAAGAGCAGTATATGTCATTGTTTAAATATATATACTTAAGTGTTTTTTATAACTTCATATCATTTTAACAAAATAATAATTATTTATATAACACTTCTCGTACGACACTTATTTCATTTACCTGATAAAACTGTTCTAATAACGTATTATTTGAGTAAGCAAAGAAAGAGAGAAGAACAACATATTTAATTAAATAATAAATTTTTATTTTCTATATTAATTTAGTCAAAAGCTTATTAGAGCTTTATTTGTTTATAAAATTATATTTATTTACTTGTATTTTAATTTCCTTAAAAGATTTTTTTATAATCTCACAGTCACAGTCAGTCGCATATCACGTAACTGTTATAACTGTTATAACTGCTATAATAGCATATTTAACTGAATTAAAAATTGTTATTCCTAAAATTAATTGAAATATTTTTCTTTTGTAATTATATCCATAAAAGTTGGATGGAGCTGCTTTCAGTTTTGGAAGATTAATAACTGGAGCCGCGTTAAATGATCGCACACAAAAACTTGAAGACTTCTCACCTGTTATACAAATCACTTACAAACCGAAAGTAAAGCGAGAAAAATCTGCTAAATCTCTGAACTCGACGAATATCAGTATTCCACTTTATACGAATGTGAATCGCAATAATTTGATTTGTGAACTGGAAGTCCCGACATCGGAAAGCGGTGATACTGTTTTACTCTCCGGAGCAGCTCTAATTGTGCCAGACTATTAAATGGATTATCAGTGAAGTTGAAAATGGCATACTAGCCATTTGGAGTGTTAAAAAAAAATATATATATATATATATATATTACATGTTATTAATAATAAAAGTAACTAAAATGATTGTTTAAGGAAATTATTGCTATTATTATTAAGCTATTATTCACCTAGAAACAGAAGGTAGGGATGAATGAAATATTCTTACATATTTCTTTATCCTTAAACCTATCTTACCAAACCATCTGCTATTTTGTCTGCTATTTCAGATGCCCGGACTTGCACTAATATACTTTGTAAAAACCAATTAAAATTGAGTTGAGGTACTGTTTTTATTAAATAGCGTAATCCGATTTGTTCGCTATTTCTTCGCTACTTACTCGTGTCTTGTCTGCCTTTTCCACAAGGATCGAATGAAGACGTCTTAATGACGTAAGACATATATATGTATAAGACTGATCTACACAAATTCATAGGACTCTTTAAAGATAGTTTCTGATTTAGAAGTATACTCATATTCATACAAACATGCTAAAACGTTTCTTTATCTAAATAGATCTTGATTAAACTTATTTAATAGTTCCGTAGCTGGATCCGTAGCTCCTTTTAAGTATTTTATTTCAAGGATGCAATTAAAGAACGCCGATATTCTCAGATTTAATAAAATACTGATTGGAATATGTGATCGTCTTATTCGCTCGTAACAAGTTCAATATCTTAAAACTGGTCTTTGTTGATGTGAACGAGCTCTGAAACCATAAACTACAGGAAAACTAAAATTCTATCACAAGTTTTAATCAATCTAAGACAATAGTCAAACTGGATTAGATTAAATAAGATTTCTTCCAGAACTAAAACAATAAATCTTAAGGGTTTAGGGTATAACCATTATAAAACAATCTTTCTATTCTATAAGCCCTTTTCAAAAATCAGCTAGAATTATATTTTTCTTATTCTAGCACAATTTTATTTAAGCACGCAAATGTTTGAATCTTCTAACTGGTCGAATAATAATGGACGGACAGACGGACATATTAAAAAGTTGGTATCAACAGAATTCTTCCTTTTGTTAATAATAAATAAAAAATAAATTATAAATTAAAAAAAATTAAAGTGCCTTCTTATTTTCTTATTTATTATTATATATTATCATTAATTATTAATATATAATTGTTAATTATTTTTAGAATAATAGAATAATATAAAGAGTTTGAACTTTTAATTCAATATTCGGTAAAATTGTGCATTTTTATTAAATTATTATTCTGTCTAAATGTCCTTAATATTCTAGAAAATAGAACTTCAATCCATTTCATGACATTTATTAGAAGAGAACTATGGAGTTTTCATGTCCATATAGTAATTAGCGTGTTTCCAAAATTTTACTAAAAAATTTGAATCATAAATTATAAAGAATAAGGATCGGCTTTGTAACTTCGGCATAAAATAAAGAAAATTTACACACTTTTTACAATCAGTTAGATAATAATACTTCATTCAGATTGGCTAACGATCAAATGATCAACAATCATCACATTTGTTATTGCTTCCAATATCATCATCATTCATGACTATACAGTCCATGTAGGATCTGAGCATGTTTAACAACATCCTTCCATACTTCCATTCTTCTCTGTTTTTTGCTTTTATTTTCCAATTTCTTATGTTCATTTCTTCTAAATCCTGTTGCACACTGTCTTTCCATCGTTTTCTTGGTCGCCCTCTTCTTTTGCTGTTTCCTACTTCGTTCTCATAAATCTCTCTCTCATAGTGGTACTCTCATATCTGTTATTCTTGTCCGGCTTTTTCATAAATTTATTGATTGTATTACCTTCAGCTAGCCGTTCAACATCCCGTTTTCTTCACGGGGCCAAACATTTTTCTGAGCATTTTCCTTTCAAACACTGCTATCTCGCTTTCCTCCGTTTCAGTTGATCTCCATATCTCGCAGCCATATTCTACTACTGGGCGTATCAATATTTTGTACATTTTTAGTTTTGTTTTCTGCGAAATATTACTATTTGTAATTAGTCGTTTTAATCCCTAATAGGCTTTCAATGTAAGTATAAAAATCAAAGTAATCCAAATCAACAAAAAATATGATCGTCCACATATGTACATAACCTCAAGATCTCCATTAAAAGGAGAAATATGGAATAATCAATTTTTAAGTAAACTTCAAATTAAAAAAAAAAAATCATTTAATATATTTATGTAGCTAAATATATGAAAATTAAAACCAAGTTAAAAGTTCTTTATTTCAAGATTCATAGAAGTTTATTTTGATCTTGAAATACTTGAGAAAATCTCGGGTTCAAAGAGAGATTCTTTCATTTTGTATGAAAAACAAGTAAATAATAATTTTTATTGTTCTAAAGAAATTTAGATTTATTGAAAATATTGATTATTTTTGGTGGAAGTGATTATTTCTTTTAAAAAAGCTTATTGGTTAATTTATTTTATTTCAGTTTTTACTGCAATAGATAAATTAATTATTTTACTTATGTATGTATAAATTAGTGTAATTAAATTATGGCCGTGTGCGACTTTAACTAAATCGAGATAAAGTAAATTTAAATTTCCTGGGGATTTTTTGCACTGCACTTATGTAAATATTTATTTATATATATATTGCATTTATTTATTATATTTGGTTAAAAGTTTACAAATTTATTTATTTATTTATTAAACATCTTATAAAATTATCACAATGGTAACATCTAATTTACCCTACTCGAAATTCTGGTTTATACCAACATTCGCTGCCATACGGACATAATTTACTACGGCCTAAGACTTTCACTTTAAAAATTTTTTATTAAATTTCTGATTTAATTATTCCTTTCCTGCTTAAATTTTTAATATAAATTGAAGCAAATATATATGAAAAAAGTGCCAGTTTTGTTAAAATATTTATTTTACTAAATGCAGCTCTGCACTTTTTTGCATTTTGGTATAATTTTTTACCAAAAGCACAAACACTAGAATGAATAATTCACTTCCACAAATGGAACTGGTTAGGGTCTCTAAAGAAAATAATATAGGTGTTAATTTTTGTGTAGAAAAGCTATAGTTTTCAAAAAATATTTTCCATTGGTGAATTCTTTAAAAATTAAAATTAAAATTAAAAAAATGTTTAATTAAAAGAATTTAAATAAATAATTGCGCTTTATAGCTGAGAAAGCAACTTAAATCACAGACAAATGTTCGTGTCTTGGATAAAATGTTTTCTCCAAAATGGTATAAATTCTATCCTAGCATAAGTGGTTTATATCAAAAACTTAAATAATACGGTCTGTTTGTGTCTTGGATAAAGACCATAATATAATACGGTCTTTAGTTATGTCTCACAAAGAACGTAAAGTATTGTTGAAATATTTTTCAAAGGCCGTAATACCGTTATTATTACGATCTTTAGAAAAAATTCATAGCACGAACGGTTTTTACAGCCACTACGTGCAATGATTAAATACGATATTCGTCCGGTCTTTACATTCACATGGTCGTTTGTTGACTGCAGAGTTATGTTAAGTTTAACGAAATAATGTTAAAAGCATTAATCATATTTAGAATAATGTCTAAATATTGGGTTTATTTATGAACCATTCACATAATAATTTTGGTTCTATACTTAACTAAGGTTACGTACAACTATTCACAATATAAAATAAAATCATAAACAGCTGAATATTCTTTATGCTGAATTGTTGACATTTTTCGAGTAGTTTTGGTGCTATTCTAGGCTAATCAGTAGTTACGACTATTCACAATTAATTATTATTCAAAATGAATTTCGGTTACCTCGACAATATTTTTTGACTTACTTTAGATTTTCTTAGGATTTTGATGTAAATGTGTGGTTTATTTGTTTTTCTATATCACTTATTTTTCAATATATTATTTCAAAATTATATGCATTATTTTATTAAATAATTATTAAATATGTTTCAAGGACTTTATTAACTAACTTTGGTGAAAATATTTTAATATAAAAGAAAAAAATTAAAAATAAATATATGATAAGTGCAAAATCTTTTTTCTTATTTTTTTATTTAATTTGATAAACAAACTTATAAATTTAAAACTTTTATATATAAACGTTATTAGGATGTGAAGCGGAAGCCCTGATTATTTCAATGTGACATCTATGTAAAAGATAAGCTCAAATTAATATAAACAACTTAAAAGACTTTATTCAGGTAAATAATTATAAGAAAATAAAGTATAGAAATAAGGACGTGTGCGAGTTTGGCTAAGTTGATCCCAAACCAAATGGGAGATTTTTTAGGATTTCTTGCACTGCACACTTTTAGCCATTTACCATATCAACATGTATCGACACATCACTACATTATCGGCACAACTTAGAATTTTCCTCATTTAGAACGCAACTTAGCTTAACTCGCACACGACTTTAGCCTAACTCGCACACGACCTAAATATACACGACCGTACTCTTTGACTGCCGATTGCTGACTGTCACTTAACCACTGCTACTACTATTGCTTGACTATATAAGTGCTATATATATATATATATATATATATATATACATATGTAAGTTTGCAATCATATATGTCTAAAAAAGTGAATCTTTAACTTTACACATACTTTAAACAAAAAGTGTCCGATGTAGATATAGATATAGATATAGATATAGATATAGATATAGATATAGATATAGATATAGATATAGATATAGATATAGATTAGATAGATATAGATATAGATAAGATTAGATATAGATAAGATATAGATATAGATATAGATATAGATATAGATATAAATATAGATATAGATATAGATATAGATATAGATATAGATATAGATATAGATATAGATATAGATATAGATATAGATATAGATATAGATATAGAATATGGTAACAATGTTAAAAACCACACAAAAATGCTATTAAAATGCACTAAAAATGTTTACAGTTGTATTTTGTTCAATTGAATTTTTCCAGGGTGAGAACATATCTTCTCCTCCAAGTTGTTTAGGTGGATGTAGTGTTGACTCTTTTCGTAAGTTGAATTAACGTTTTTG